TTATTTTCAAAAAATTTTAAAAGTATTTAATTTCCTGGCCACGAAAAAGTCCTTATTTTTATATTTCATTTGTCAGCTATTTTATTATTGTTTTATGTATCATATATTTCTCTATTTTGATTCGAAGAATTATCTTACTTCATATATTACTGTTTTCCTCTATGTAAATCTATCACATGAACTATAAAAATAGTTCCATCAAAGATATATTTCTAGATGAGTAAATTCCTAAAATTTTTATATAATACATTTGTATTTCATAATAACATCTAAAAAATATCCAGTTTTGACTAAAATACAGATATTTGGTGTTACTCAACAGGGATAATTTTCATATTTCTATTTAAGTGAAAATTGATTATTGCCTTGCTTTTACTCTATAAAGAGAGTTATAATCGCATAGCAAAATATAAATGAAATAATAAAGGCTATAAATACTATATCTTATTGTATTTATGAATATATATCAACTATTCTTTAATTAAAAATATAAAGTAGTAAATGTATATACATGAAAGGTCGTCAAATTATTTATGATGGACAAATGAAATCAAGAAAGTTGATTGATGGAAATTTCCACTTAGGTCGATTTCCCCAACTCCATAGCTTTCCTAATTTTGCCAGCTTCTTAGCCTTCTTTTTATCTTCGGGTTTGCTAAATGTCTTGGCGGCAAAATCTTCAAATGAATTAATAGGTTTTTTTTCATCTATTAATTTAGTTAAATTATCATTTGCTTCATTAAGAAATTCCAACTTTTTTATTTCTTTATTCATTTGCTTTTCATCTATAGGCTGGTTAAAAGAATTATCTTCTAAACATGAAATAAAATGTGGTATTGTCAGAAAATCAAATAACTGATTAGCATCTTGCGTACACTCCTTCAGTTCTAAATTTCTATTCTCAAAATTTAAACACAGTTTGTTCTTCTTAAATGTAAATCCTATAGAGTTGCTGCTGATAATCCACTTATCCATTTTATTTGAACATGTTATTACTTTGTTATTATTTGCGCAAAGTGCATTTCCTCCAATCAAGATGTGAAACCCTTTGCCATTTTTTATAATTTTACAATCTGAATCTATTTTACTATCAAATTTTAGAGAAGCTTTTTCAAAGGGACAATCATTAAAGTAATCCAATCGTCTGGCTAAAAATTCTTCTGGATTTGATATAAGAAATATTTTTATATTTCTTCCAGACAATTTTTCTAAAACTTCTAATGATGTTTTAACTATGTAAAAATATAACAGCATAATTTTTAATATCAATTAGCTTTAAATAATACCGAAACATATTTGTTTCATAAATGACATAAAGTATTGTGAAATTCTTTTGATAATATAAAATTTTTTTATATAATATAAATATGATTCATAAATAAAAGTAAAGATTTGTTTTCAGTTCTTCATGATCTATTTAAAAAAATTTATAGATTTAAAAATATTTAAAAGTTAATATAGCATAAAGGAATATTTTTAATAGAAATCTGATCAATATAACCATATTCATCAGGTAAGAATTTAGATTTTATAAGATTAGATTAAATATAATTAAAATTTTTAACCAAAGTTTATAAGAATTTATTTATCGAACATATTCAATTAAAGATTGCATATATAATAAATAGCTATCTTCTTTGTTAAAACTTTCTTCCTTTAGCTTTTCTTGTTTTGCTTTATTAGCAAGTTTGTTTACTATGGTCTTGATCATGGGTTAGATTTTTCAAAATTTATTTAATTAAATTTTTAAGAAGGGATTGACAGAAATCAAAATTTATGTTTTACTTTTACACATGATATTTAAAACATTTTGTGTATTTACTAATGTCTAATTATACAATAATTCAATTGTAAGATGTAAAAGATATTTAAATATCAAATATTTAACAAAATATCTTTAATAAGTTCTCAAGAAATATAACTTTTGGATCAGCAGAATAATTTTATATTTTCCTTAAAAAAAGATAAATTTGTACTTAAAATTGAAAATACATAAATATTTTATAAGAATGCATATTTGTGTTGTAATTATTGTTTAAACAAAATGTTATATGAATTTCAATCTTTTTATTGTGTCCCAAAAGTACAGTACATTTAAATATTAGAGGTAATTAAGCTTTATACACTTTTGAATTTGAATGATAAATACCAACTTGATCTTAAAAAATTCTAATTTGAAACAATATATGTTTATATAAATGTTAAAAAAATAGTAAAAAATTTATAATTATTTTAGAGTAAAAAACTATAACAAAATATATTATGTGGAAATTTTCTATATGAAAATTGAATTTAAAATACTTTAACTTATTCATAGTGAATTTATACTTAATAGATTTTAACCCATTTGAAATAATAACTATTTTCTATTAAAAATAACTGATCCGGATATTGCCATGAAATAATGGCATAATTTATAAGTTTTTTAAGGAATTTTTTAATAATAAATATTTTCCTCCAATGGAAAGAAGTAAGAAATGATAGATGAGATGAATAAAGTTAATATATGTTTAAATAAAATTTATAAATTTATATTTTAAAAAAAGAGAGTTGCATCTTCGTGGATAGACTTAACCAGAGATATCTCCGGAATCGTGTTTATTCTTTTTATTCCAAAAGTACAATTTAATTTATCCTAATTCAAATTGGGCAATTTAAAAAAATATTCGCGAATTTTATAAATATATATTTTTGTTTCAAGAACAAGCTTTCTTTAACTAGATCTTTAAAGCTTCATATTCTTCTTACCGAAAGGTAGCATAAGAGTAATGAAAATTAAGGGCCATGTTACTTGCATTTAGTGAGATTCAAATCTGCCCACTTGTTTCCGGTTTTTTGATAATATTTTTGCTATTTTATAGTAATTTTAATCAAGGTAATTAAATTAAAAAATTGAATTCGATGGTATTAATTAAAAAGCTTAATCTTAGCAAAACTTTTATAATTAAAAAAATATTTCATCGATTTACATAATTAATTGCTTTAAATATTAATTATTTAATTATTTCATCAGAATATGACAATAACTTTCGAGTTAATCTGAGATATATTGGGATATTTGAAGGGAATTAAATATATTATAAACTAAGCTTTTGTTGTATATGACTGATGAAAACTTTCCTTTATTCTTTTAATAATTTTGATATTAAATATTTTTTTGAATTTCCGATTTATGTGTAATTTTATTGTTAATTGCTGAAATTTAGACAAAAATTATCTTTATGCATGCTTTAATAGCATTAATTTATAATTTTGAATGTATATTTCATATATATTACGCAGTTATATGATTCTCTATTGAAAATATTAAATAATATTCATAAATAAAATATAAAAATGGAATTTAAGGGAGTTGAACCCTTGACCTCTCACATGCTAAGCGAGCACTCTACCAACTGAGCTAAAACCCCATATTTAGTCCACGATGTTAATAAATAAACATTAAAACATGTTTTTTAGATAAACTAAAATGCCAACATTTACAATGCAGTTAAACCTTATATTTGATCATTGCTATAAAAATAAAAGCTTTAATTAAAGCTTTTTATTGAATTTTTTTAAAGTATTAACCTTTATCACGGGCAAATTCATATTAAGAACACAAAATTTAATCTCAAAAAGAAAAATGAACTATTAAATCGTTTAAGGGAATAAAAAGCTTAAATATAGGAAGTAAATGTTTTAATAGTTTTTTCTTAGTTGGATTTTGTCTATTTAAATAAAGTAGGTTGGTTTCATTGTTGCTTGGAGTGGAATTTTAATAGTTTCTACTTTTTATGAGCATTTTTAGATGAACCAAACATTCTATCAAATATCTCATCAAACTAAAAGCTTATAGCTATTGTATTTGCACAAAAAATTATTTTTCATAAAACATTCAATCTGAATAGAAAATAAATAATTATGATTTATATTTTCAAAATTATGTTAGAAATTTTTTTTTTGATACAGTTATCATATGAAATTCCCATAATAAAATTCCTACATAATATCTTTAATATCAGATGAATATTTGTTACATATTTTTTGTAAAATATCTTGATGAATAATTTGTAGGTATTGTATTTTTATAATCTAAGTGTACAAAATATATTTTCAATTGGGCTGTACCTTTTTATTTTATCCCATAACAGATTTACCAAAATCGCAAAAAAAGCATAATTACCGAAAAAGGATTGGTGTTCAGCATAATAAAATGTAGGAGTTAGGAAAACATTTTTTTGATGTTAATACAGTCTTTAATTTGAAAAGTCTTCTATATTTAATAAAGTTATTTGTTATTTTAAAACAAACACTTTGCCAATATTAAATAAATTCTTGATGTCAATTATCTGGTAATAAATTATGTAGTATAAGAGAGAATTGCTGTTTGGATAAAATGCTCTAATGATCTAATATAAAAACAACAAGCATGAATGCTATATTTTTTCTAAATTTAAAATTAATATTGCTCCTCTTCGCTTTATTAGCATTTTTAGGTAAAACAAAAAGTATGATACTTTTCTACATTTTGATTAATTCTTGTATTGTCGAGGGAATTAAACAATTTTATAAGGATAATTATATATTGAGATTTGATAAATTTTGAAAATTTTGTCTGAAGATTAATAGCATTGTTGGATCATTTCATATCTTAATTAAGAGGGGCTGAAAATACCAAAAAAAATTAATTGGGTTTGATTAAAATTTAAAAGTATAAATAAAAAAAATAAAGTAGCACCATGGACATCAATGTAAGAAACAAACTCCTTTAAATAAATTTTACAAGAAAACATTAAAAAAAATTTTGTTAATAACTTGCAGCTGCCTATGGAGCAGCAAGCATAAAAAAAAGCTTATTTGCAGAAGCCAAAATATTATGTTATAGAATACATGAAGAGCTATAATCATGCTTACTTATGTTTTCTTGCTGCTATTAATGCATTAATATAAAAGAGTTAATGAGTTCATCTTATTATTGACAAACTATAAACTATTATTTTTACATGATGATTCTGTTAGAATAAGCATTTGACTTAAGGCAAAGCTTAGAATATATTTACAATATGAATTTAAACACAAAAGCTTTAAAACTAAAATCTTAATATTCTCATTGCAAGAAAATAAATTCAAAATATTTTTTAAAGTTATTAATAATTTTTTAAACAAATATTGAAACTTTTTATATGTTTAAAAGTTTTATATAATTAAATCTGAAAATCAAATATTTAAAAGCAATTATTAAATCGTTTGATTTTTAAAAAAGAAAAAAAAGAATTTACAAGTGAAAAAAAGTTGGAAAGCATTTGAATGATTGCCAATTTTTTATCAAATATTCTAATTTTTCAAGTAAATATCGATTAAATACCTCTGAGTAAAATCAAGTTTTTTTAAAAGTATAACTTTAGGTGTCTCAAGATGTTGATTATAGATGTTCGTCTATTTTTTAAATAAAAGAAAAATATACTTTAATGAAAAAATATTAGTAATTTTATTAATCTTAAAAACTTTCTTAAAAATATATGCTATGTTATTGAATCGCTATAACCAATCATTTTCTTTTATTTAAGAATACTTCATTCATTTTTTGTGTTATAATGTAAAAGAATATTTTAAGATTCTATGGACTTTGCATCCACGCAGGTAATGTTATTCACAAATTTATATTTTTAGCATACTCTTTTTTAAAGTTATCCATTTTTTACCAACACAAATAGCTTATATGTTAATTAAGTAAATAATTGTATCAACTACTAAATTTTCGCAAATTATTGGCAAATTTACATGGATTCCTTGTTTAGTTCCATTCATTCAAATCCTCAATAACCTTGATCTATATATTCAAAAATTACATGTATATTGTTCTGTTTTGGGCAAACTACACCCATGGATCCTACATATAATGTTATGCATTTTTCATCAACATGAACTAAAGCTTCTGGTTTATCTGAAAGCTCTTGTAATGGCTAAAAATCATAAATTTTTTAAAAACCCTCCATACTACACAATATATACATTAATTATTGTACTATTTATTCCTCTTTAAAAAATTTATCAAGACTTTTATTTTTAAATAAAATATATTTAAACCCATGGTTGAAGCATCTTCCCTTGTTGAAGATTATCTAATTCTTTATGGTTTCTATTTGTCATCTCCTATAGAATCGATCTAGAAATAGAAAAAGTGTTCTCAATATAAAAAATCTTCCCATTTAAAATTGATTTTTTGTAAGTAGATTTTTTCATATTAGATAAGGATATTTTCTATCTGTGTACAATGTTTCTCCATGTCGTCCCACAATTGAATAACAGGTCTACAGGACTTTGAGAGTGAACCTTTAAAGAATATAAACTTTTCTTCCACAAATATATTAAATTAAGAACCTTTATGTATTTCCTTCATGATGATTGGTACTAAATAATTTATATGAAAATATTGATTAATTAATTATTATTAAATATATTTTCGAAGTTAAATTGTGTCATTTTGATTTGCTCTATTTTTTAGGTTGGAATGTTTGGTTCAAAAATTATTATTTTTTTGTTTGATTTTGTATTTATTCACAAATTATTTTATTTTTTTAGTTGATTTATATTCTATTTACATTACGTTTTCAAGTAAAGATATTTATAACACATTTTTTTGTAATTATTAATAAAAATTTTCTAAAATTTGTAATATTTTTATATTTATTAATTTAAATTAACTATTCTTAATCATGTGTAATTAATTGAATTAATTTAATAAATTTATTTGATTTAATTAAGGATTGGTTTCTAGATTGTATCATATTTTAATTAAATATTAGTTCTTTAAAATCTATTGAAACAATTTACAATTAGCATAAAACACCTGTATTGACAATAAACAAATCATAATTCAAATTTCCTAACAAAACAATTTAAAAACCATTCTTTTTTATATTTTCTCATTTAATTGGATATTTTTTTAAAAAGAATTTTTAATTAATTTAAAATTAAAAAATTTATACCCCAATGGCAAGAATAGAAGAAGAAGAGATTTATGATGATAATGATGTCATAGAGAGATGGGAAGATCTTAAGTTAAGAGATGAGCTTATTAAAGGAATATATGCAGCTGGTTTTGAAAATCCCAGTTTTATTCAAAAGAGAGCTATCAGACCACTGATTAACGGAAAAGATCTAAGAGCACAGTCTCAATCTGGTACTGGAAAGACAGGAGCATTTTGCATTGCAGCACTGCAGAAAATAAATTTGGCAGGAGGTGTTCAAGTAATTATTTTAGCACCAACAAGAGAAATTGCTTTGCAAAATTATACTTGTCTTACAGTTTTTGGTAGGCTTATGACAGAAATTAACATAAAATTGCTTCAAGGAGGAAAAAGTGTTAAACAAGACATTGAGGATTTAGAAAGTTCTCCCCATATCATTGTAGGAACACCAGGAAGAGTATTACATATGTTAAAGGATAATCACATAAGATTATCCGAAAGTATACTTTTCATTATTGATGAGGCAGATGAGTTATTTAAAAGAGGATTCAAGGATACAATTAAGGAGATATATGTAGGAATTAAGGATGTTGGTATACAAGTAGCTATGTTCTCAGCTACTTGGGAAAGTGATGAATTGGAGACATCACTTTTACTTCTTAAGAATGATCCTAAAGTGATTGACTTAAGAAAAGATGAACAAACATTGAAAGGAATTGATCAATATTTAATTGACATGGGAGAAAGAAGAAGCAACAAAGGAATCAATGATGAACTTAAAATAAGAATTATTTTAGATATTTATTCAAGATATCCAATTAATCAGAGCATAATATTCGTTAACACAGTTGACAGAGTTAAAGCTATCCATAACAAACTCAATGACCTTGGCTTTGTTTGTGGGGCAATTCATTCTGATCTTACACAAACAGAAAGAGAGGATGTATTTAAGAGATTTAAGTCAGGTGATTTAAGAAATCCTCAATAACCTTGATCCATATATTCAAAAATTACATGTATATTGTTCTGTTTTGGACAAACTACACCCATGGATCCTACATATAATGTTATGCATTTTTCATCAACATGAACTAAAGCTTCTGGTTTATCTGAAAGCTCTTGTAATGGCTAAAAATCATAAATTTTTTAAAA